AAAAAAAAAAAAACCAAAAAAAAAAAGAAAAGAAAAGAAAGAAAGTGACACAAGAGCAATGACATGGGTGTGTTCAAAGGGAAGAGCAGTATCTTGAGGAAAATTCGTGGTAGTTGAGTCTTTTACTGCAGTTACTTCTTTTTCTTTTTACTTAAACACATAACCATATTCTCAACCACACCTTGTATTCTCATCTCCCTTCCTCTGGGGGCTCTTAGTATCCTTATTCTGGGACTTAAAGTTCCCTGTTGTCCCACTGGCCGGCTGGGGTTCTCCAATGCCACTCTGTCTTGCTTACCTCCACCTGCTGCTTACCTCTACCCTCTACCTCACCTCTACCTGCTACCAGGCCGCTCGCTTCCCACCCACACCCCCAACTCACCAGGCCCTCATTGGAGCTGAAGTCGTTGAGCCCAGGCTCAGGCGCCAAAGAGGCTGGTGTTGCTGTAGAGTCTGGGTAGAGAGGATAACTCAGTTCCCAACAGACCCTCCCGTCTTGGCCCATCTGCACCACCCCCAGAGGGGCCCAGCTCAGCCCTTCCAAATCTTCCCGGGGAACCCAGACTGCAGGTGGCCACAGGTGCCGGCCCCACCCCCACCCCTGCTGCTCCGGCCACTCCAGGCCAGCAGAGCCCAGCAGGGAGTAGTCAGCTCAAGGTTGTTTGCAGGAGTCCGGGCTGTTTTAGGAGAGATGGTGACCGGAAGCCACCCCCCACACCGCTGCCGCTGTGGCCCTGGGCCCTAAGGACCTGGGCGGGTCCTGTCTTTCCCAGGAGTGTCTGACTCACACCTCCCCCCAGATTCCCCTAGGCAAGGGGCCGGGAGGCCAGCGGGTCCACACCTAAAACCAGCTAGGAGGACCTGAGCTCAGGGCACAGGCAGCCGTCCTTCCACGTCCCTTTCTGCCCCCAACTCGGAACTACTGGGACTCAGGGAAAGAGGCCTCCCCTCCAGAAGCGGGAGTTCTAGCAACCTGCACTGTCCAGGAGGGAGCCAGGAACCCTAAAAGCCAGACCCTCCCCAGCCATCTCGCCAACCTCCCAGGTCTGAATCCTCCTGGTGCCCAGCACCTCTGAGCTGGGGAATCCAGACCCCTTCCCCCAGGGCTCCGGGCCGGTACCTACTTTGCCCCCAGGCTCGGCCCCAGCGGGCAGGCAGCAACGCCAGGCCAAGTGCCCAGAGCAGCCCCAGGCCTGGGGGCGCCATGGGCTGGAAGTTGGGTTGGTGACGCCAGAGACCGAGCTCCCAGCGAGCCGCTTCTACTGCATCTTGGGCCGGGGGCACCTGCGACCCGGCACCTGGGGACGGGAAGAGGACAGAGGCCGGAGCGCGGCGTCGGGG